GAGTTGTCAGTCTGGATTCTGGAAACCCTTTCAGTTTCAGCAGTTTGTTGATATACAAGTCATGCAAGTGATTGCTAATGTGAATGGTGAATATGCCTCATTTAAATTGAGAAAGGAATATACTCGTTGCTCTTAACTGCTGAATCCAGTGCTCCGATTTTTGTTCTCCTTTTCTAATTTGTGCGTTTGTAATTTGGACATGTGGCTTTCTTTCAGGTCTTCATGGCAAAACCAAATTCAGCTGATGGTAGGACTAGGACCTCCATACAATTAGTTATCTTAGCAGGTTTATGCCTTTTTTTCTATGCGCTTGGTGCCTGGCAACGTAGTGGTTTTGGCAAGGGAGATAGTATAGCTTTGGCAATCACAAAAAGTGGGGCTGACTGTGATGTAGCTTCTAATTTAAATTTTGAAACTCATCATGGTGGTGAATCGGAGACTATTGGCGAATCTGAAAAACCCAAGGTTTTTGAGCCATGCCATTCTCACTTCACCGATTACACACCTTGCCAAGATCAAAAACGTGCCATGACCTTTCCGAGGGAGAATATGAATTACCGGGAGAGACATTGTCCTCCTGAGGGAGAGAAGCTGCGCTGTCTTATCCCAGCACCCAAAGGTTATGTAACTCCATTCCCCTGGCCGAAGAGTCGGGACTATGTGCCCTATGCAAATGCACCATACAAAGCTTTGACTGTTGAGAAAGCTATACAGAACTGGATTCAGTATGAGGGCAACGTATTTAGGTTCCCTGGTGGTGGGACACAATTTCCTCAAGGAGCAGATAAGTACATAGATCAACTTGCTTCTGTGATACCAATTGATAATGGAACAGTCAGGACTGCACTTGATACGGGTTGTGGGGTACGTGAAATAGCTTGAATTTTCTCCCCTTATTCTTCATTTTGTAATTTTATTTCTGCTGCCATTGTAGCTTCATCCTTTTTTTTTTTCCAATTTTATCAATTCTGTTGTTAGTCTTCACATTGCTTATGGCATGTCCTTAATTTCCTAGGTGGCAAGCTGGGGTGCATACCTCTGGAGTAGGAAGGTCATTGCCATGTCTTTTGCGCCTAGAGATTCACATGAAGCGCAGGTTCAGTTTGCTCTCGAACGGGGTGTACCTGCTGTCATAGGTGTCCTCGGTACCATAAAGATGCCATATCCTTCAAGGTCCTTTGATATGGCTCACTGTTCTCGGTGCCTGATTCCATGGGGGTCCAATGGTGAGATCTTCAAATGTCACTTGGGCCTTGTTTTTTCGGCTTTTAATTTTTTCAGATTTTGATGATCTAATAAATGATGTTTCTGCTTTTCTTTTTCGTCTCTCTCTCTCTCTCTCTCTCTCTCTCTCTCTCTCTCTCTCTCTCGGTGTAGATGGAATGTACCTTAAGGAAGTTGGTCGAGTTTTGAGACCTGGTGGTTACTGGGTTCTTTCTGGTCCTCCAATCAACTGGAGGACCAATTATAAAGCATGGCAACGTCCAAAAGAGGAACTTCGAGAGGAACAAAGGAAGATTGAGGAGGCTGCCAGCCTCCTGTGCTGGGAGAAGAAATATGAAAAGGGTGAAATAGCCATTTGGCAGAAGAGAATAAATGCTGAATCATGCCGTGCTAGGCAAGATGACTCTCAAGCTACTTTCTGCAAGTCTGCAGAAGTAGATGATGTGTGGTATGTCCCTAAACGTGGCACTTTAATATCATCTTCTCATCATATTTTTTCAGCTGGATGGAATACAAGGATAGTGGAATGCTGATATGAATATTTAAGTGAGGTCAGAAAGAGATTGAAGTCAAATGGTAACCCATAAGGTCAGCACGATGAAAGGGCTGGAATTCTCTGGCTCGGCGGTGTCGTCGTACAGTTTCGGCTCTACCTTCCCTTCTATCACGTGCAGGGGACCTGCTTCGGGCTGACTGGTCCCCCCATTTTGATTCTGATGATGTCGTCTTGAGCAGGAAGTCGATATCCCATTCCTCCCAATGCCTCTGTTCTATAAAAATTACTACTTTGACCTCAGGCTGCCAACTATGGTTTTAATCAGCCATTCATGGCTTATGGCTTGGATAGTCATTAATGTATGCACTCTTAAGTAAGCTGAAAGCAGTATTGGATAGTGAGCGACATTGCTTAAGATTGCCCATTATGATCTTTTTAGATTGCTGAGGGTTTTCAGTTGGGTAAATTATTAGTGAAAGATATCTGTTCTTGTTCTCCAGCTTATCGGCTTCATTTAGCGGACAAATTAGTTGTATACATATGAGAACTCCAGCAAGTCTGGTGTAAACTTCATGAGCCTGGTTAAAAGACCATATTTTCTGAAGCTCAATCTTCTTTCACTCCCTTATTAGCCTTTTGCTTTCTGTGGTTTTTAGGTACAAGAAAATGGAGGCATGTGTAACTCCATATCCTGATGTTAACGATTCAGATGAAGTAGCTGGAGGAGAACTGAAGCCGTTTCCAGAGAGGTTATATGCTGTCCCTCCGAGAATTGTCAGTGGATCTGTTTCTGGAGTTTCTGTTGAGACGTACCAGGAAGACAGCAATAAGTGGAAGAGGCATGCGAATGCCTATAAGAAAATCAATAAGCTTCTTGACACTGGAAGGTATCGCAACATTATGGATATGAATGCCGGGTTGGGTGGCTTTGCTGCAGCAATCGAGTCTCCTAAATTGTGGACGATGAATGTTGTGCCCACAATAGCTGACAGGAGCACTCTTGGTGTCATTTTTGAGCGAGGATTGATTGGCATCTATCATGACTGGTAAAGCATAAGAAATCTCTCTCCTGTTTGGTCAATGCCTCTTTACCGCAGATATTTATAGCATATTCCTTCTAGCAGTCACATCAGTCGGGAAATTATTGAACACGGCAGTTTGCATTGTCCTTGTCCAACTGTTCAATTTTCTTGATAAGTAATGCTGACATAAGAAGTAACTTATGGAAGACAATCCAGGTTTCTAGTGTAGCCAAAGTTGCTCTCGTTAGCACTACATGTGTTTGGTGTAGTTCTTTCTGTAATTTTACAAGAAGCATCTACTTTATAATAGTTCTGGATGTGATTATTAAGCTATATGGCTGGCTTTGTCTCAGTATTCTCTTCAATGTCAGAAGTGTGCTTAGCGCATGCCTTGGTCTAAATCCTTAAAATTAATGTCAAGTACTGCACTTGACTATATGCATATCACCTGTTTATTTATTTTTACTCTATTTCTCCGTTTTATTTCCTTGTTAGCGGTCACTAAAGATTGCTAGGTATATCGATTCAGGTGTGAAGCTTTCTCCACATATCCAAGGACATACGACCTTATCCATGCCAATGGAGTTTTCAGTCTGTACAAGGATACGTAAGTAGTATCCTTAAACTTTTACTTTTCTGCTTTTTGCTTAATCCGAATCTTGCGACAGATACACTTTGACAATCACCTGAAACTTTACAATATACAAATTTTGACACGCAGATTCACATGTAATTTTTTTTTTGTATTAACATTTAAATATTAGCGGGAGAGCAAAGGGCAACTTTTTTTGCTTTTGCTAAAGCATAAACAAACTTGCAATTAAGTTATTTCCTCTACCATTTCATCCGCCTTAGATGGGGTATATTTGTTGATCTGCAGATGTGATGCGGAGGACATTCTCCTTGAGATGGATCGAATTCTGCGTCCAGAAGGTGCGGTAATAATCCGCGATGAAGTCGATGTGCTGATTAAAGTGAAGAAGATAGTAGGAGGGATGAGGTGGGACACTAAAATGGTGGACCATGAAGATGGTCCGCTTGTCCCAGAAAAGATTTTGGTTGCTGTTAAGCAGTACTGGGTTGCTGGTGGGAACTCCACATCTTCGCGGTAAATGACTCGGCCGAAAGTGTGGTGCACATTTGAGCTTGCAAAGCATCAATCTTTTGCTTGGCGAATTCTGGTGATATGTCCGGCCTGATGGGTGGACGGCATGGGAAGCATCAACTCAATATCTGCTGCTCGGTACTTTTACCTAGTATCTAATTATTGGATGAGACTACGATCATATTTGTTTTATCAATCATTAAATTTTTTGACTGTCCGGTATGCATAATTGTAACACAGGAAAACGAATGCAACTACTGCCTTGTATTATTGAGATCTTGTTACTGAGCGGTCGCGGTCATCTTTCTTTTTGGTAATTTGCCTTAGACAGAGTTTCCTTTTGTCTGATAATAATATCGAAAAGCTCGAATGAGGACCAAATTAAATTCGAAAGATGCAGAAATCTCAGAGCGGTGCCTACGTAACTTTAGTTTCAACCAAAATCGATCCATGCAATGTTCTTTCTTTCATGCAAAGATGCTCAACGTTTAAGGACTGTTTTTTGGGAATACTTGCAAGTGAATTAGTTGATTACTTTAAGCAGATGTATGATGTGAAAGATTTAACCTACGAATACTATAGTCTACAAATTTACTTTTGGTTTCAAATGAGTGAAGCCGAACCAGCTTTTGTTGGCTTATCTATTTATGAACCTCTGATAAACTGATGGAACGAAAGATAAAATTAATCTAAGTAGCTGGTTTTGTGGTTTAATATTTCTTTCTTCATATTCTTCTCTATTTTAACACCCGTGAAATGAATACTTCCGCATGCCCACTTTAGGCGCAATCCTGTTTAGCATCCCGCGGCATGTAGGCCCAAGAGATCATTGGACAAATATTATCCGTCCCTTCTGTCTCGCTTCCTAGGCCATCTCTTGTGCTTGGAGCAAGAACGATGTCAAATATCTCCCTCTCCCCATAACTAAAAGGGGCATGTTGTCTCCATACCATCCCCTAGAGAAGTTTTGGGTAAGTGACGATTCAGCGTTTGCTGAAGCATCCGTAAAGGGAGTTTTTTTGCTGAGTGACTGATTGGATAGTATAGTTTGGACTTTTCATAGACATTATAACTTGGACATGATAGGTGAGTCCTTTGCAATAGGTGAGCCTGGCGACCAACATGTGGACTGCAATATCCAAGGATTGATTTATTCTTTGCCTTTGGATTTGTGACCACCCAATATGGCTAAAGGTTTGAGCTGCAAATTCCGGCTTGATGTACTGTGTACGGTACTTAGGTTTGACCAATGCACATGTCATGTCACCTGCACCCGGGCAACAATCGGTCCTAGATCTTATCAAACTGCGGTAAATATTGCTCATCAAGAAAAAAACTGAAGTAAATAATGCAGTTCAGCATAGTTTCCATCGATGGCCATCAGCCAAAGCCTGGGTTCTTTGTTACTTATCGTGAAGAAAATGATCCTCCTCTCAGTTTAAATGTCTAGAAGTCATGAATTCTTTTACTCCTTGTTCAGCATACTAGTGGTGAAACTTCAGATGAATACCTCGTTCTGGTCTTCTTGCTGCCCAAATTTCAACCCCGACTTCGCGATAAGTCGAAAATAGTGGTCCATTTTTTCTTATTTCATTGGTACTTCCGTGCCTTTCAGGTATAATGTGTTGAATGTTGTCGAAGCACTTTTTTAGTGCTTTTGCCTCTTTAAGTTTCGGTTGGGCCAATCAGATTTGGAATGTATTCTGGTTTGTAAATCCCGTGATCAAAGAAGGGAAGAAATCAACATCCGTTGTTGTGAAATTGAACTCAGGTTCCAACAAAGAGACTCTGCTATGGTGTAGCATTTTCGCCTAGATCACAGCTACCCTTGAACCCGCAACTTTATCTCAACATCCTCTCTGTGTGAAGTTTATTCAGAGTAACAAGCTAAGCTTAGCTCCCCCAATCAACCTCTGCAAGCTCTCTGCCAGCATTCACTTACCCCTGAAAATGCTAACGAGAGAGCGCTACTTAACTGTATACTCATTCTACATTCCTTGTACGTAGCACACAGATTTCACCGATCAGAGTCTTGGCTGTTACCGTGCAGAAAAGGGGTCCTCTTCGTCCATCTCAGTTCCGTGAAATCGATTTCGGATGGTGAAAGTTGAGTGACTATACAGGAGTAAAATGTCATTGACCCTTCCTCCAGTTGAAGTTGCAGGAATGTGTAACTTTTAGTGGTCCTGACGTTTCTTCCCATTAATATCAATGTCATTTTTCCATTATCTAGGAAGTAAGTTGTATAGGCCCCTACCCTTCAATCATTAAATTTTGTGAAGCCGAAACCTACTTTAACAGTTTTTTTTAATAAGTCAAGCTAACATGAGAGCCACCTCAAGTAATAGTTTCTCGTATCCTTTATATCTTGGCTCCAAGCTGATGGGCCACTGGATTATGTTAACAAGGCTCTTCCATTGTTAAGTTTCTTTCAGGAGACCTCTCAAGCTGTTTCTACTTTAGGATCCTCATGGCCTTTTGAATAATATCAATCTTGTTGATTCCGTATTTTCTGGAGCTCTCAAATCTATCCTTTGCATCCTTTTTGTTCTCTTCTGTCATCCTTTTCCTCTTGTAGTTTTCCACTTAGAAAGTCATTTTCTGCTCTGTTTTGCTGTGCTTTTGCGCGGAACTCTTTCCCCAATAAGAGCTGAATGGCTATGATTACCTTGACACCATCTTTCAACCCCAATCACCCACAACTATATTCCCTGGAAGACAGCACCAGCAGCAACAACCTCCGAGATGCGTCTTTTTCTTCGTATCTGAACAACACAGAGGAGAGCTTCATCCACAAGCTAGCTCAGACCAGTGGTCAAAGCCTCAATTTCAAGAACTTCCATCAGGAGGAGCATCTTTATAAGGAGGAGGATGGAGAAATTGGAGTGTTTGGAGCTGAAAAATACTTCAATGGAGGGATCGATGAGGAGGAGGAGAGTCCAAGAATTCCCAAAATGGGTTCAGGGCAATCCCAATCCCATTCGCAACATGGCAAGAAGGAAGATCCGCAACCTCATGTCACGACGCAGCTGGTCAAACCGAAATTCCAATCCGCCACTCCAAGTGTCCGTTCAGAATCGAGCTGGAACAGCCAGAGCGGATTGCTTCAGAGCATCCTGAGAAATCCTTCGCAGCGCGGGACCAGCAAGACAAACAATGGGAAGAGCTTCTTAGCTTCTCTTGGATGCAAATGCTCCTGCTCCGGTAAGAGCTCAGTTGACGTCGATGACCGTGTTGGTGAGATCAGTTTCAGCACGAACACTACTTCCAGTGCACTCCAAGCCAAGCCGAGCAAGAACATGCCAATCTTGGATCCTTGGATGATCGAAGAGATGCAAAAGAAAGAAAACCTGTTCACTCCAAGCTCTCTCAAGCAAGAACCTGGGAATCTGCCAGTTATAAAGACCCATTTCCAGGAGGAGGAAGAGCTAAAGCCCAAGAAGTCACTGGAGGTTTTTGGGTCCCCGGTGTTCGATAAAAGAAAGAACTTACTCACCTTAGAGAAGAGGCTCACAATGTTGACGTGCGATGGCACTAGTGCCATTCCAAGAAAGGAGGGATTTTCTGAAGTTTCCGCAAGCTCTAATGGAGTCGGAGTTGGAGCCTACAACAGCATGGACTGCGAGAGTGATGCTAGTTCGGACTTGTTCGAGATAGAGAGCCTCACAGGGAAAGTGAATTCGTTTCTCACCAGGCAGGTCTCTGACGCAACCTCAGATTGCAGAACCCCCACAACAAGGTATGCGCCGAGCGAAGCCAGCATTGAATGGAGTGTCGTCACCGCGAGTGTTGCAGATATCTCGGTCATGTCTGATTATTCAGAAGCCCCCACTACTAGCCCTGTGAGGACTGCTTTAACTGCCAACAAGGCTGGCAGGGGCAGATCAGATGTTCCCGGGTGGCGGCGTTCTAGTACTCTGTTGGGGTGTAAGAGTCAGAAAGCGGTACAAATAGCGGGAGATGCTTATAGGACTAGTGACAGGTCGCCGCGTATCCATCGCAGTTCCGACGAGTCCGCTCAGGCAGCGAAGTTCCGGGCTGAGTCAAGGCTCATGGGGATCGAGTCCAAGAATGGACAGCACATGGACAGTGCCGCATGTTTGGTTCCTGGCTCGCACGTCCCGAATGGCCCGAAGCTCTTATACATTCAGTGATCGGAGCATCAGCAATGTCGCGAGTTTCTTCAATTTGCTATGGAATAGTAGTTAAATTCGAGTCACATGTGATTTGGGGTCCAAGGTCTAAAAGTAATTATAGTAACTGGGCATATTCCATTTTCATGCAATAATTTTCTCTAGCAGCAGATCTGAAACTTCAGATGATTGACAATGTTGCTATGACATGTATGGTGTTTTACCCACCTGTGAAGAACCTATTCAGGAATGATTGCAGCAGCGATCTTCCATCATGCAGTGGCATGATATGAAAAAGTGGTGCTGCTTCACTTTGTAATACTAATGCCATAAAGCATGAGAGATGAATCATGCGGGTGACAACTACTCCAAATATATTTCCTGGCTTATTAATTGGTGTAGCCATCAGTGAGAGTCATGTGTTCCCGAATATGGATTGGTGGGTGCTTCAACTCACAGCTGTTGAAGCAAGAGCCTTTCAAGGGAGGAATGTCATCTACAATGACACCCTCCCTCACTGTGGTTTGTGCACGACCTTATAGGGCAAAGCCTGCAGCAGGGGACAGGAGGATGCTTTTCAATCAATTCCACAACCACCTCATAAATATTGTGGACCAAGGTCTTATTTCCTCCTCATTCACATCATCTGTCCATTCAAAGTATCGATTTTTCCCCCCGTGGACTGGTGTAAGAAAATTAAGCACAATCTTATCACTCTTTCTGAGCATTGATCCGTGCTGAATTTAACCGATCCCATGATCAGAAGAGAGATCCTCGTGTGTATCATGTTTTTCTTCTGTTTTTCATGGAAGCTTAGGGGACAAAAGATTGGGTCGAAAATAATATTGCCCATATTCGACTCAGGAAAAAAAACTGTTCCAAGCATAGTTCTACCTCTAAGAAGCCACAATGGCTCATACTAAAAGAAAGACAGATAATTTCGCGTTATTTTTATCGACTCGTGTTGATATTCGCGCTAGCTTTATTGGATAGCCCGATCGGTGGAAAAATGTAAATTGGAGTATTTTCCCATCACATCTTTATATCTAACCAATGTCTGGACACATTTGGACTATACAAATGTCTCAGTACATCTTCACTTTCATAAACTGTAAAATTCTCGCAGATGCAAACCTCACCTCATTAAATAGTCTCTTTCGGAACCGCAAAATATGAGAAGACAACACTGAACAAAAGCAGCCATGTGAAGATGGGGTCAAGAAGCTGTACCAAAAAATTGAAAAAGGCAGAAGGCAGATGACCCCATAAATTCGACAAAGAGCACAATATCAATATCTCTCAACACTTGGCCAAAACAAAAAGGTTCCGAAACTACACGAAATCATGCGACGCTTTAATCGATAACGAGACTCCAGTTGTTCACGGTGAGGAACGGCAAAGTAGCCGTTCTGCTCGCACATCGTAAGGAATTCGAACAACTTTGTAGGAAAGACAAGCTTCAGGGTTGCAAAAAAATCAATAACCTTGGGGTGTAATACTCTTAGCTATATATCAAACGTTTCCTTGAAGGAAATCTCAGAGGGGAAAAGAGGGACAAAACGGTTTGATTAGTTTAAAGAGAGAAAAGGTCTTAACTTGTATTCCATCACTCTCTAGGACCAATATGACCAAGAATGTTACGGTTCATCACCTTCCAAATGAATGAGAATTAATTATCCTCATTTGACATTCTTCTGATCCCTCCTCTCTCAGCATTAAAGTGGTGGAAAGCATGTCTTCTTTTATTCCTTTAGGGACCACCTGAGGGAAAGCTAGACTTTGATCAGGGACCAACTGACCATCCTTTTTTATTATCGATTTCCATGAAACTCTTATCTCAAACCATCATGGCAGATCTAGGGGGGTGGGGGGGAAGAAAGAACATGCCCAAGGGATGACCATTATAGTCCCCAAGCCATTTCATGCTTGATCAGATCATCACACATATCTTGGCATTTCTAGTCATTTTATAGACATTTTGGAGATGAGATTGTACTTAAATGTCGATCCCATTGGGAAAAAAATGATAGGTTCATTTTGGCCAATTGAAAGAGGGATGAAGAAGATTACTTTAACATGCTCAGTCTTTCGGAGAAACTCCTCAGCATTATAAGAAAACGATTTTCTCCTAACCAAGTTGAAGTTGCGGGCACGTCGGCTACAAGGCATGTGCGGTGACTCCAGAAGCACAAAATGTTTGCTCTTTATATTTCATCTCTATTTGAACAATGAGCATCTAAAAGGAGAAATTACCCAAAAAGTCCTAAACCTAATACACTCATGCCAATTCAGCCCTAAACCTTTCAATTTAGCCAATTTAGTCTTACACCTTTTGACGAATTGCAAATTTAGTCCTAAACCTCTCTTTGTGTTAATTTAGTCCCAAACTTTTTGAAGGTTTACCAATTGAGTCATAAGCCTATATTTGGATATTTGGTTAGAAGAACTACATCGGCAAATCATCAAAAGTATAGGATTCAATTAGCGCAATTGAAAGTCTTAGTATTAAATTGGCATAAATGTAATAGGTTTATGACTTTTTTGGTAATTTCCCCTAGTAAAAAGAGGTGGTAGAGGAGCAGCATATGCGGGAAGTAATCGACAAACAGATCTGTCCTTACATAGCCTCCTAACTGAGAGTGACATTGATGGTTGAAGTAGCAATTCAAGTCTTGAGAAACTTTGGGTACACGTCCACTTGCTACTTAGAAGAATGGTCGCTCACCAAGAAAAGAGGTAAGAAATGTGATCCAACGTGACATTACTTTTCTAGCCAGCACTTCCTCACTCTGAATATATCAACGAGACACTGTTTCTCGTGGTCCACGCCAAAGGGTGTAGAATAGAAATTATCATCATGCCTCAGATGGTGATGAAACTACTCTACACACTTTTTTTCTGCCCCTTGGTTGAATAGTAGATATGTAAGTTCATGTAGAGGATACCAATCTATCCTTTGTGTAGCCATGTTCATTTGTTAAATGATGAAGGAGATTGGTGGAAGTCCTTGTGTGACCATGGACCACAGAAATGACTCATGAAGCTATGATCCACAGATTCAATGGGGGAAATGGGTATGTCGGTCTCCGATAGCAAGAGATGAATGAACCTTTATTACCCTCAACTGATGTTAAAAGCGCCACCCTATAGGGACCAAAGCCATAATGATCTTCAAATTGATGAAAGTATCCAACAAATTCCTTGTTACGAGCTCAAATGAACAGCCAGATCGGTCAATTGGTAGAAATCCATTTGCGAGGGCGATAGACGGGCGAAAGGAACAAAGAAAACGAGAGCAAAAAATTTGATATAAGATCTTCCAAGGAAACAGATGTGTCCCTACGTATCGATCACGACACGGACGTCCGACAAGCAATTCAAGTCTTGAAAGTCACATTTCCATCCTGCTGTTCATCAGCAGGAAGATGTACCACTGACCACTGAGGGAGAAAAAGGTGTGGCAGAAGTCATAACAAGAGACTCCAATTAAAGATAAAAAGGAAACACTAATAGAACAAACTCCCAAAACTTGCATCTGATTAAAGGATGATAATTTGTGCCGACGACATTCAATGGATCAGGCAAAATCGTCCACTTTGATGTGATGATATGACCGCAGAATTCAAGATCTTGCAGGATATCACATGTGGGACGTGCATGTTGAATAGTGTCGTGACCTCCCCGCGAGCGGCACTCTGGGTCCACCAAGGGTGGAGATTTTAGGTGTCCAACAAATACGGGTGTAAAATTTCCTGTTGAATGATGCCGAACATAACTTCCATGTTATTCAGTTCAACCATGCTTAGCCCAAGATGAATGAATTTGTAACACCCCGAAGCCAGACGAGAAGTTTGTCCAATACTTAGGTCTACATGATCTCCTATTGCTATATAGAAGCAATATACTCTAAATTCATTAGTACCGTCCGTTGGTCACCCGAGAAAATAGAAGGGTGCCTGTCTGAGCAAGTTAAACATCATTGCGACATATTTCACAACTTATATCAAGCTACATGATATGTAGAGAGCATAAAAAACACCTAAAGAATGACCTTCACAATCACTATCAAGTCCCTTGAGGAAAAACAAAATTACGAGGACTTCTTGACCGAAGCGTGCAAGATACACCCAGCTACTTGGTTGCTTCAGTGGTTGATTCCTCCGTTCCACCACCTTGAACAAGCTACCACACAACAAGAGGACAATTAAATCTAACAGGACATGGTTAGGCTGCAAATGGGAAGGGAAAGGGCGATAGATGTTAACGCACCAAAGAGCCAATCCGCTCGTAAGCTTCCATTACTTTAGGATCTTCCTCATCTTCATAACCTATTTGAAGTATCCTTGGCCCATTGACGGACCACAAGGCTCTCCTCCCCGCTTCCTATTGGAATTATAAGGAAACATGGAATTGGCCAATTACAATCAGAGCAATCTATATCATAGTCATGTGGCACTACTGAAGCGAGAGATGCTGCAATACTAGAAGACAGCAAAAATGGTCGCTATCCTAGAACAAGTCGGTCAATTAAATTGCAAACATTTTTTTTGGGTCAAAATATTGCAAACATTTATATTGTCAACTACAATGGAAAGGCTTTTGCCACGACAGTTTATTTCATTAAATAGGATAGTCAAATAAGGCCCTAACCACTTTTACTGATAAGCGCAAGATAGCCTAGAAACCCCGCATAATACCAGTTGTTCTCTCGGTCATATTAAAAGTATTTCAGGATGTGTTGCATCAGTCTACCCACAAGGTATCCTCGTATTTTTCACTTTCCAACGCACTGACATTCCCCATGTCCTGGGAGAATGTAACAGACGGACAAGGACAAACTCACAGCCAAGAATTGAGTGACAGTAACATCTTGAAACAAGTAACCTCCGCCTACTTTGGCTCAACATCCTGAATAGGTGATACTTCCTTCTTTTGTGGTCACCTCAATTTTCTAAAGACATCTACAAGCAAAAGACCAAAATCTCTAAGAGACAAGTATATCCATCTTTTTACTGAGAAACCAACAGTTCAGTAATTGATATATCAACAGAACCTGATTGAAAAGTTTTCCCTATTTCTTTGACACTTTTAAATTTGTAAACCAAACTCGTTATTTTCCATGGCATATGCAACGGAGATTATTTACTAGTCTAAACTATACCTGTAACACGATTAAATAGATTGCCTCAAGTGTTTGGATCCGAATTTCAGGATCATCAACTGGTTCCCGGTCAATCGACAATGCAGTCCCAAGCTCAGGAGGCATCTTCGCGGTATCTTGCTCAGTGTAGATCTGCCCAAAAATCATGAGAATGTATTTTTAATTAAAAAATGCAGGATAGAGAAAAGGAATTGGAATTAGAAACAAGCTCCAAAATTACTGAAATTGCAATTTAAGGATACGTTGGGACAACCGTACAAGCAAATGCTCCAGCAGAGGACGTACATCAGGTGAGAATTCATAAGTATCTCAAATGTATTACTGAGGATCTCATCCAACCAATTCGAAAGAGTTCTTTCAAAGGGATTTCCCACGTGAAATGCCAATTTAGTGGTGATTTTACGTTAAACTTGATATAGGTGCTGACTTGAGACAACGTGAAACAGAAAAAAGCCTTACACTTCTTTAAAAGAACAAGTTATAGACTCAAAAAGTACCTTGTGGCCAGCGACAGGCAGAAGAAGAGCAGGCCAAAGAAACTCAGATACTAAAAGCAAATTCTGAAGTTGATTCTCAGCTTCAAAACAGCAGTTGCGAATAGTTCCAGATACCTGTACAAAGGAATTTACGAGATTCAAGCTAAGACAGTACAGTGGCAAGCACAGTCACAAAGGGAGGCTTATTCAGGCTTGCCACAAGCAATCGTCCATGCAAATCTTTACTGAGCTTCCCCATACTATACCATCATAGGAAACTAACACTTGCCCAGTACTTTGTTGTTTCTCATGCAACCAAAGAAAACCAAGGAAACTGCACACTTAACAAAAATTTTGTCATGCACCCAGGGATAGCTGCAGAATAGGTTTGGGCCAACAGATGCAAACAAATTAGCCTTATCTAGTCCAATCTCATTCGGGCAATAAATCTAGGTAAATAATCAGAACTCTAGAAAAGAGTGACGCCTGAAGTTACCCGCGTATCCAAATTCTTTAACATGTTTTGAAATAAAAATACAAACACTTAATATCCTAGACATTTTACATCTTCAGTAAGAGAACAAGATTACAATAATAATGTCACTACTATCTAAAGAGGTTCAGGTACATGTAATGCAGATATAAACTCATGCCAAACACTATGCACTGCTTGCAAACTGTCCCCAACCTGACTCGAAACTCCAGTAGTTCCCTTTAAGACATGATCTCGTCGGTGGAGACCCAATAAAGCCAACCCATTGCCATAGCAATTTCTCTTAGGATATCGACACCACCTCTTTAAGGGTCATGACTATGTTTAAATAACTTGTCTATGTATTTGAGGAACAAGCCTTCAGCAACCTAGTTCTTTATTAGTTTTAGCATCCTACTTTTTGTTACTTATTTTGGCCAAACAACAACCTAGTTTCAAGCAGAGAACAGTAGCTCTTGGGGAATACAAAATACCATTGCCATGAAGGCGACATACTTAGTATCATGAAGGCACTTATGAACTACGATATGATTATAAATATCAGTTGCCTATGGAAACTTCATTAAAGATTTGAACGAAGTGAGTATCCCAATTTCAAATGATTCTGTAAGTCAATATTTGTCCAATTTTTATATCATGCAAGCCAGCACACATGACATTCTTATGTGCACTTTCAAATCACAAAAGTATTTATTAAAATACCATCTCTAAACATTCAAAATCAATTTCATATGGTTATCTCAAAACATACCCCCTTTTTCCGCAATGGACTACTTGAATCAAATTGATGGATGATCTGCTTAAGAAGACCTCGTTTGGGGTCCAGTAAAATCTTCCTCCCTGCTTCATTCTTTGAAATGTTTACCAGGATTGAACCCACATGCTCGAATGAATCATCTAGTAAAATGAAAAAGGTCAATTCAACAATTGATGAAAAGGACAAGACAAGCATATATGAGGAAGTACTAGCAAAAACTATCTCATGCATAAAAGTATTCGTATTGAAGAAACTGGCATGATGATCAAAATCAAATTTCTTGCCCACTGGACATGGATAGTATACCAGCTGAGGTCTGCCCATTTTATCTTCCAGGAAAACACCAATTCTTAGTCTTGAGAAACTTATGATCTCATATGCCCATGCCAACAATTCCTTTTTTTCTTGGTACATATTGAATCTTTATCATAAGGAGAGGATCTTAATTATGAACAAAATACATATGTAGGCCTCTCCCCCTAGCAGGCAGAAAAAATGAGGATACAAACATAAGGCCAAATAAAGGTCCATTGTGGCTCAACAGGGATAATTGGGTTGCGTGAAGGCCTCATTTGCAAATGTGTAAATAGATTTCATGGAATGGAAACGCACCGCCTGATTCATTGGAGGATCTACAAAATGACCTCACAAGCCTCATCACATATAATCCTTGGACGTTCTCATCTCCTGTCTAGCAAGCAGAAAATCCCATGTATAACTATCTTAGAGTGATAGACCTTAAATGAAAGACACAAATATGCTGAAATGAATGGCAAAAGGGAAAGCATACAAATACTCTACATTTGAAGGACAACAGCTGTGACTGAATGATGAGCTGGACTGAAATACCTGGAGCAATGACGCAATACCAGCATCCGACTGTGTAAGATTGACCAGAAGCATAACAAGCAATTTAGTAATTGATGTATCTGGTTTGTACAACAAATCCATGGCTGTTTTGACCATTCCTATTGTGACCATCTTGGATGCCATGTTAGAATTCTGTGAAAGATTTACAAGAGCTTCTGCCGCTGGTTGAGACACCTCCTGATAAATAGACATAAGCCATTGCCAAAAAGTAATTACTCATGAATGTTGTGTAGGCAATCTGCTTTGCAATGGCCAATGTAACCAGACTTGTCTTTTTGCTTCAATAAATTCAATGGCAAATTTAGAACTTTTATTTGGCATTGAGAAAAACCACATGATTAAGAGTCTATATTGTGTTACCTCAATACAACAATAATATAAACGTACTTATATGCTGGAATGGAAAAACAGGAATTTATAGAAGCCAATAGTAACTTTGAAATATTATTCCACATCGATTGACAACGGGTCTTGAATACTCTTTATATTCATATGGTCTCCCTCCACCTAATAACTTAAGCTTTTGGGTTGGATTTTCTAACATGGTATCAGAGCCAATGCTATCCCTTTCGCAAATATGCGTGGTAAAAATTTCATGTGAATGTGCGTAGTCAAAATTTCACGTGTTGCTCGTAATCCAGCTTGCACATGAGTGGGGGTGTTGAAATATTATTCCACATCGATTGACAAAAGGTCTTAAATGCTCTTTATATTCATGTGGTCTCCCTCCACCTAATAGCTTAAGCTTTTAGGTTGGACTTTCTAACAGTAACTGTTTTGATATAACTATTATAAGGCCATCAATCTAAAAATTGTTGGCAGACTTCTGTTATATCGAGGCTTCTTTCTTATATGTAGAAATCTTAACATGGAGTAAATTAGTGATGAATCACCTTATTTTCACTCAAAAGTCGAACCAATGACGGTAGTAAAATCTTTGCAAACGAGGCTAGAGACTGCAACCCATCCTCACTTCCAGTTAATCCACTGACAATGTCCACCGCCGCCTTCTTCACCTAATATGGAAGAGAAATGCCCACAAGTCAAGACTAAAATTACAATAGCCCAGTACCAGAACTCCAGATAAAAGGTTGAGGAAAGAGAGCATATTTGATCCATTATGTAAGAAAATACATGTAGCCAAGCTGACTTAATGAGAAATAGTTCAATTGAGCTTTTCATAATGGTAATGTTCATCTGTGCCATTCAAGTTTGAGATTAACTGACTCCATCATCACTATTTTGATAAGCATAAAAGTCAACTCATATTTGCCGTGTCGCTATCCAGTAAAAGAACAGGGTAAGAAACTATGTCATCATGATGTTATACAGATGACAGAATAAAAAACACAGTTGTTCCATCTCTCTCTCCTCCACTACCCCCCCCCCCCCCAAAAAAAAAAAAATTCAAATTGATATACGCCAACGTGTTACATAAGAAACAGTCTCAAATGTGCTGAAATCAGAGGACCATATCTTTGGCAAACTTTTCCTCGCTTAGTTTTGATTCATCATTACTGACATGACGAAATGGGGAATTACTTTAGCCTACACAAAGAAAAAGGTTTAGACCGCAATTTAAAACCACAACAGCATTTACTTCACAATTGTTTCTCCATGTTCAAACTTTCTCATTTGCCACCAATTTTCTCGCTTTGAAAATTCTAGCCCCAGCACCTCTACCATCTAAAATAGCATGCAAGGCCTTTAATCATCCGTGACTCCCTTTTCCTAGCTCATCAGACGGTGAATTCCTTTCTATATCGAGTTTTGACAGATTACGATATGTAAAGAGAAGAGCAGGTGGTTCTCATCGACGTTTTGCTGGCGGTTTAGTCGTTCTCGTGATGAAAAAACTCGTCCGGCTATTGATCTTTCAAGTTAAGACCTCAATCTAAAAATTATCAAAACGAAAATTCGCGGTACTTTCCCACAAGACCCACATGAGCAAGCTACCAAGTTCTAACCTTAACGAGTCGTTACGAGGCCGGAAAAAGACAACCTTTTTCCCCTTCCTTGATCGCCGGGGAGCTCAAAGTTGATCCCTTTTCCTCTTCTTTTGCTTAAAGTGCAACACTTTCAAGTCTCTCTCGCTAATAGCTATGCAAAAAAATCGTTCCTTTCCACCCATCACTCGGCAAACTACATCGCTTAAGGATGAAGTGAAGGGATTGCATCGTGTACTACGCATTCAAACAACGGGATCGAATTGGAACCTTCTTCCGCTTCTTTCCAAAAAGATTCATGAGCTAGAAAACGAAGGGCGAAAGAGGGCTTACAGGAGGAGAAGGAGAAGACAAGAACCCCACCAATTCTTCCATCTCAGTCGCCATGGTTTCGTCGTACGTGGGTGTCTGTGTTCGAGTTCAGAGCTGTCGCGAAACGAATCGGAAAGCAAGGATTGCAGAAACCCAAGAACCCTCAAAACGGCGCCGTGTCGGTCGTCACCGGTCAGCCGCTTTCCTTATCAATCCCTTTCCCTTCGTCGTTCCCGCTTTGCTTCTCCGTTTCTTCGCGAACAATCTCAGACCAGCGTCCAAAACACATACCTACATGTGTGTGTGTGTGTATATATAGGTGTGTATGTATTTTCTGTCTTTTTCAACTCGTTTCCCGTAAGTTAGGTAAATTTCGTCCTTGGAATACTCAAATTTGATGAATTTCACGAGCACATTCCTCAACCTATCCGGCCAATTTTTCAAGAATCGCTAATGTGGCAGATCACATCTACAAATCTCTGGAACTCGGACATTAATATTTTAATGAAATTCTACCGGACTCGATAAAAAACTTACCTCGGTAGGCCACGTTAAACTTACGTACGATGGCATGAAATTAAATTATATGAGAAGATAGAGCAAACCGAATTTAAAATATGTTGCGCAATTTGCGTGTCCATGTTATATATGAAATTAAATTGAATTCTAGCATATTTACTCGTTATATTATAACAGTTTCGAGATAAAGGCGATTCCATGTTCTTCAATCACTATTCCATACGATCGCTCCCTAATCGGTGCTTAAAAAGAGCATTGGATCTAAAAAAACAATTCTCTATGCTCGAAAGTGGAGAAAATTGTTCAAAAAGTTCTTAACCCATTATACTTTTTTCCAATTCAGTTCTAAACCTTTCAATTTTGCCAATTGAATCCTAAACCTTTTTACTTTTTGCAAATTGAGGTCATTCAACCAATTTTGGTCTGAAATCCCTAACATGGATGCTGGCCGTGTCACGTAGAACGATCGACGCTAGCGTGAACAAATTTTAATTAATTTTGAATTTATATATTTATATATGATTATTCTTTTTCTTTCTTTTTTTTTTCCTTCCTTTTTCCTCCTCTTGCCAATGCCTGGCCAAAGGCAGAGGCCGGCGAGTTGGCGAACCTTGCCCAGCCATGGCGAGGCCCTACCTTGCCGGCCGGCCCTTGCCTCTGGCCAGTCGCCGGGCCTCAGTGATCAGCTAGAGGAGGAAGGACAAAGGAAAAAATGAGAAAGAAAAGGAAATATATCATTAAAAAATGTCCACACAGGACGGTCGGTATCTACATCAGCGATATCCGACCAAAAAAACTGGCATAACGTGAAATTATTTACGACTCAATTAATAAAATTAAAAATTTTATGACTGAATTAGTAAAATTATAATAAATTATAACTTTTTGGATAATTTTCTCTCGCGGGCCGCCTCACAGCCACCACATTCTACGTCAGGGGCCCCGCGCGCCACCTCAGCAATCAAAATTCTAGTTTAGTTTAGAGGGGACACAAAGCTAACTAACAATAACAGCATCCCCTCCTCCTCCTCCTCCACCCTCCTCCGTCTCGTTTTATTTTCCAACTCCCAATTCGGTTTGCTGACGTGGCATTCGGCCCGCACAAAACCACCGTTCATGCAAAAGAAGATTCATTCCCTCCGCGACAGACAGAGCGAAAGGAGGAGAGAGAGGCGAGCACGTCGGAGCAAATTCCGTCAAACTCTCTCTCTTTCCATCGAAGGACGGGAGGCCGCGGCGTACCGGCGGCACCCCCCCTCCTCCGTCGCCCCGCCTCGATCGCATCGCCGCCGCCGCCGCCTCCACCTCCTTCCCCTCCGGCTCTTCTCCTGATCCGGAACGATCCCCGGGAATCGCGCGAAACTCGCCCCGGATTCTCGCGGCATTGCCGAGGAACCCGATCGCCGCTGCCTCGGTCGTGCTGCGCGGCGGGTCTTCCGTCGATCGATTTCCCGTTTCCGTTGGCCGCGGCGAAGGAATCTCCGGTTTCGGCCGAATCGGTATCGGGATTGGCCTCGAGCTGTTTCGGAGCTCGGAATCGGTCGCCCTTCCGCGAGTTGCTGTCGAGGAATCTCCGTGGCTTTATGGCTTAGGCATGGCTTCTGGAGCTGCATTTCGGTTTTTGGACCTCATTTGCGGCTGTTGATCGGAAGGAATCGTTTCGGCATTGGAAATTACAGCGGTGGCCGGCGTCGTGTGGAGTCGAAGTGATCGTGGATGGGCTGGAGTTGGAAGTCGCCTCCCGAATTCGAAGATTTCGCTGGTTGGTTGTCAAATGGGTGTTTGGTGTGCGTTTGGGCATCAGATGACATTGAAACTTGAATGGCTGATCCTCAGAAAAGTGGCCTCACCACGGATAGGGATATCGAGCAGGTTTTCCCCTTACCTTTTTGTTTATAGCTCCGATTCATTTTAGGAAATAGCTGTTATAAATTGTGTATGCTGGCTTATGATGGTGATATAGTGCCCATGTCCTGGGTGGTAGGTGCATCTCTCTGTCCCGTGATTTGGTCTGTAACTTTAGTAGCCCATTGTATTTTTCTTTAGTGCAAAGGAGCTGTTGATGATCAGTAGCGTGAGTACTTCACTTGAATTACTCAAATACTGCATCATAGCATCCCGTAGCGTTTGAAAATAGTCAATTACTTGATATAAAGATTTTTACCCGGAGAGAGGAAGTGCGCGGAGTGACCTTTGGAGACTTGGGGAAGCTGCATATGGTATTACTAGCATGAAAGCCTTCATTCTTCCGTTCCTTTGTCAATCATGCGCAAATCAGTCATTCTTATTATCGAGTCCCGTCACCTTGACGTAAAATTTTTCCATCTTTTTGAAACAGCTTGACTTCTATGAAGCTTTCCTTTGGAAGCCATTATCTTTTTTAAAATTTTCTCAATCTTTTCCTGCGAAACATCTGTATCCACCATTCAACGATGTGGAGAATGAAGTTTTTGAAAAGCCTTAATGCTATGTAAACAAGTCATTCAATGGAGGACCATCATCAATATCAAAACTTCTAGAGGTGGCCGACAGTTTTCGGTTTCAGTGTAGATATCTTGCTCTATCTAAGAGAGGATGTATTTTCTTACACTACGCAGTAAGGACTATGCTTATTTGAGAAGATTTCAGAATTTCATTTCTATAGCTACAAGTTCCGGGTAGTCAAAGCCAAAATTTTGATGGCAGGCAATTACAGCACTTAAAAAAGGCGCTTGCTTACTGAAGTATGGTCGCAGAGGGAAGCCAAAGTTCTGCCCCTTCCACCTTGCCAGTGTAAGTCCCGTGATCCTAATTAAGTGTTTGAAAGCCTGTAAGAGAAAAAATCTTAAAACTAGTCTCTACATATTATAAGTTGCACCGTAGAATCAATTTGAGATCACTCGGTACCTAAGATACGTGAGATTTCCATTGTATCTCATGGGATCATCAGATTTTGTGATTTAGACTAATTGTAGTTGTTAAATCGGCTCAATGTACTCTGATTTAATAGTAAACTGACACATGCCTTTACAATAAATGCCAATAGCCCAAAGAAAGCTGTTGATAGAAAAGGTTCCCATGGTTATCCGTATTGATTTTCTCCCTGAACCACGCTGCTATCAATCACTACACCTGGAACTTTGTTTGTGAACTTCTCTGAGTTCCTCTCTTGACTACTTGATTTGCTTTCTGTGTCAGGATGAGTCTACATTGATATGGTACTCTGGCAAAGAAACAAAACAGATTAAACTAAATCAAGTCTCAAGAATTATACCTGGACAGCGTACGGTAAGTTATAGATCAGTCTCGCTTTAAGTAATGGCGGCCTTTAGTTTTAGAAAATTTACTCATCAAAGCGTTTTTTTGTAAGCCTCTGGACAATTGTAATCGAGGTCGAAACACTATCTCCCCCTGAAACATCACTTCCTCCGCTGCACTTACAATTTTCAACAAAATCATGCATGTTCATAATTTTGTTTCTAATAATATTTTGATTCATACTTCTACATAGTAATTCTATTTTGTGTTCTTTGTTCTCTTAGTAGATTACAGATATAATATAAAGGTCACTAACCCCTGGTTCCAATTTTCTTATTGAAATGGCTTTTCATTCAGGCAATATTTCAGCGGTATCCACGACCTGAGAAGGAGTATCAGTCATTTTCCCTGATCTGCAGTGATAGATCCTTGGATTTGGTGAGTTTGTTTGTAACGGCTCTATCTTAGCCACCTAGTGAAGGGGAAAAAACAAATCACATCTTGCTTCCTGTGGAATACTTGTAACAATTTATAGGCTTTTGCTTATGGATATTTGTCATGAGGCCATTGCGTTCATGAACAGATATGTAAAGACAAGGATGAAGCTGAAGTTTGGTTTGTTGGTCTCAAAGCATTGATCACACGGGGTAATTTCCGCAAGTGGAGGATCGATACAATCAGTGAAGCTGCATCCTCAGATAGTCCGCGTGCGCGAAGAAATTCACCATCCATTACACTGTTTGTCAGTAGCTATGTCTTTCTCTCCATAATTCCTAAAATCAGCCCGATTACATGAAGCTTTTTGCTTTTCTCATTTTCTTTTTAACCATTCATGACCACAGGATCCTGGACATATCCAAGGCATTCAGCCTCGTGGTGAAAGTACTTCACAGAATAGGTTAGGAAAGGCATTCTCAGACATAATAACCTATACTGCTGCAGACAGGGGTTACAATCAAAGCGAAACCATTGCCAATCCTCTTAATTCAGTGTCACAAGGGGGAGGAGATAACTGGAATGGTCGAAATTCTGGTGCTGAGACATTTCGTATTAGTTTATCCAGTGCCGTTAGTTCTTCTAGCCAAGGTTCTTGTCGTGAAGATTTTGAATCCCTGGGTGATGCTTTCATTTGGGGAGAGGGAATTAGTGGCGGAATTCTTGGTGGTGGTCAGCATAGAGTTGGGAGTCCATATGATACAAAAACGAATGCTTTTCTGCCAAAGGCTTTGGAATCAACAGTGGTTCTTGATGTTCTTAATATCGCTTGTGGTTACAGGCATGCTGTGCTTGTTACCAGGCAAGGGGAAATCTTCAGCTGGGGGGAGGAGTTGGGAGGAAGGCTAGGGCATGGCATAGAATCAGATATATCCTACCCCAAGCTTATTGACTCCCTCAGTGGCATGACCATTGAGTTAGTAGCATGTGGTGAGTATCACACATGCGCTGCCACGCTTTCTGGAGATCTTTATACGTGGGGTGATGGAACTCATAATGTGGGTTTGCTTGGGCATGGAAGTGAAGTCAGTCACTGGATTCCAA